ACTCACACTAAGAAGATGAAAATATTTTGATCTTACAGAATATATATGCAGCAAAGATTCGTGAGAAGAAATAGCTTGATGTAAATAAGATAGTTTTCCTATGCATACAACAGTTAAACATGATCATGGGAAAGTCATAGTGACAGCTCAGATATCACTCTCAGAGTTAACAAGTACAGATACATAGAAGAAAACATCTGAACACTCAGATTCCTTTCAACTTAGTTAAGTAACATGGACATATTGTGTATCAATTAAGATTACCAAATAATGAACTTGATCATGAACAAATGGATATAGGGAAATAATATGTAGAGGTGGACATTATAACAGTGTCACTGGTGAAAGAAAAAAGCATGAACACGATTGGTTTAACAATGATAATAATCAGACAGTGTAAAGACCGTAGTGGTAACTCAGAGGCAGTATAACACATGCAGACAAGAAAGTATTTGGACATTGTAAGTTCAAACTTAAGGTTAAGGAACATGGATACAAGTCTTCAACAAATTCAGGTTTCAATAACTATCACGTAGCAAACTTAGCTTCTAAAACTCATATATTACAGAAGTGCAATGAAACAACAATGAGTTCATTGTAAGTCACTGAGAACTATGAAGTTTACATTGAACATAAACATATAAGAATTTAGGCATAGAGACTATAAGAAAGCTCAGAACAAAGATCAATAATTATCATTCTCCTAATCGATTATCACTTAAAGAATCATAACAGAACAGGATAATCATAAAGGATTATCACACTACCAAAACATAACTATCAAACATGTCAAACACATACAACATAATTATAATCTAGAGAACTTAATATCGACATATCTATATCATTCAGAGAAATGAACAAAAGAAAAGAGAGTGAAAGGTACCGGCCTTCTTGCGGGCAGCAGACCAAACGAATTTCTTTTGTTGCTTAGAGATCCCAGAAACCTTCAAGCTTGAACCAGCAAAGAACTCGGCTAAAGAGAGGAAAACAACAAGGGATCTAATATCATAAAACTTAATTTTCATAGTGTTTGTGACTGTGTGCGTTCAGTGTTAGGTTGTTCTGGTTCGTTGGTGTTAGATTGTGTGTTGGTGAGAACATTAAACACCTTTTTTTTATAGTTGCATTCAATTCTCTAGGGCTTCAAGAATTCAAAATCAGTAGTGGAGATGATGATAGCTAATCGAGTGAAAATCAGAAGACAGAGGGGGGGAGTCCAGTAATGATTTTACCTGAGTACTGGAGTGGAGTGAGTCGTTGAACATTGAAGCACAAGAAACCATCGGTTAAGCTTAAGACCCATAGGTCACTGTGTTTGACCTCTGGGTAAAGAATCCTCGTGATGAACCCTCTGAAAATATCCATGCATGCTCCGATTTGACAGAGTGAGAGAAGATTTAGTCGATTTGAAGTTACGTCTTCAAGCTAGGGTTTCCAGACTCGAAGGGTTTTGAACTTTGTGATTGAAAAAGGAATTTTCAGCAGGAATCGTGGAGTTCAGGAGACAAAAGGTGATTTCAGGCTTTGATTTGAAGGATCGTAACATAGCTCAGGTGATTTGAGCTTTCACCTTTGAGCTTAGGGTTTCAGAATTTGGATAGTTTGAATTTGTGATTGAAAATGGGAATGTTAAGCGAGAATCGCAGATAAGATAGACATGATAGATGATTTCTTGATGGTTTCATGGCCTTGCACGAATTTGTGTAACGCTCAGGTGATTGACGGATTTGTATGATCGAGTGAGAAGAGAGAAGAAGAGGAAAGGGGATAGTGTGGCGACTGAGATGTTAGAATGAATTAGGTTTGGGAGTGAGACCAATTGGTCTCTGAGTTAAGACGGGGGGGGGGGGGGGGGGGGGGGGGGGAACTGGGTGTTGGATCATTTGATCGACGACCCTGATAAATCGGGGCGTTACATATTTAAGAAAAATAATTTTAGGAAAATATGGGGACCGTTGGATCTGTGTAATCCAACGGGTGAGATAATTTTTGATAGTGGGTCGAGATTAAATGGAAAATAGGGATAATGTGTGACCGTTGATGATTTGAATCAACGGTTCAGATTGCTTGTGTTTGTTTTGTAAGTGTAGGAGACAGGTGACGTGTCAGGTCGTGATTGGTTGAGAAGTAATGGCAAGGATTGCCAAGTTGAAAGTGGATGGGGTGTTTGGACTGGGTTGTTTTCCGTTTGGGCTTGCACATTTGGGCCGAAAATGATTTAACTAATAGCCAATTTGTAGTTGGTTGAGAATTGCAATGGTAGCCTTTAAACTAATTTACATAGACTTAACAATTTCAACAAAATGTAGTGGAATTATAATTATGTATGTTACTAATTATTTAATTAATTATCTATAAATGAAACATACTTCGAATTATAGCACTAATTTCAAAGTATTAATATAGTAACTAATTCAGTAGAAATTAAGGAGTAATTTTGTCAAATTATAAAACATATGTAATAGTAAATACATTTGTAATTACACAATATTAGTACTATGTGATTAATTTTGAAACTAATACTTAATTAATTGATAAAATAGATATTTCATAGGAAAAAATACTTTAAAAGTATTTATTGTAAATATTTAAGCGTGAATAAACTAATTTTAAAAAGGGAGGATCAAAATTGGCCGTCAAAAGCAGTTGTCCCAGCCTGAATCAGATTCTAGATGACCCGAAATTCACCTTTCACAAGCGCAGCATGCTAGATTCCGCCCAAGATAGACTTTTGAATCACTCAATTTGGCCTTAAATGAGAGAGACATGATCTTTTGAAGATTTAAAGGAAATCTGAAATTTATGGATGAACTTAGGGACATAACCGATATTTTCGAAATTGTCGTACCAGAAAATTCAACAATTGCAAAATCTTACTTTTAGCACACGAACTCATTCGGAACCTCCCGAATACAAATCATATATGAATTTCAATCATAAACGCGTTACCAACCTAATCGCGCACTCAAACATCGAAAAGAGGTCGTCTTAACCCGATATTGACCGTGGTCAAACTCAAAATTCTTAACTTAACTAGTCTCTCAACCAATGATCCAAAATACACCCGAGCCCCTCAGGGCCCCGTTGATAATAGGCTAGATTCATGAAATTTGGCGACTGTTTATGCCCCAGCTTGATTATGTTCACTGTTATAATATAGTTAAGTGGGCTCTAATTGTGAATTTCACACTTTGCAGGAGTGAGTGGCATGCATGAGGCCTTAAATCTGTATCTGGAGCTAAATTGAAGCAAGAAAAGCCCCTAGAAGCTGAGTACGTGGGAAAACGAGAGAAAGAAGAGATAAAATGAAGACCTGGACTAGCGCGTCCACTAGCGCGACTGCGCTAGCCCAGGAAGTCGAGGCAGAATGATAGGCTATATGTGCGGTCATTAGCGCGTTCACTAGCACGACCGCGCTAGCCCAGTTCCCGAAAATTAAACTTCAGGGTTAAATTTGGAAGTTTGGGGGCAAATCCACTTAACCTATAGAAGGTCTAGCTCGCCCAAGAGATTATTATCACGGTTTTCATAACTTAGTTGAAGGCAAGGAGAGGCAAGAGGCAAGGAGGATAATTCAACACTGATTTCTTCCTTTCTTCCATTTGTGTTTTACGATTTGTGATGAATTTGAATATTGTTATGATGAACACTAGTATGAGTAGCTAAATATCTAGTCTAAGGTTTTGATGGAACCTATTGAGGGATGAATTTCTTGTTATGTTAATATAGTTTGCCCAGTTTAATCTCTATTTGTTCAACTGCGTTCTTGTTGTAGTTAATTGATAGGATCCTCAATTAGTTGTGCCTATTTAGTGTGCATAACTCGGGAGAGAGTACATATTTAGGTCATTGTTGCACAACACCACTCCCAAAGTATATGAGAGATCAATAACCGAGGGTTTAAAGGCGGGATTAGGGATAACAAAGCCTTGGGTGCAATCTAAAGTGAGCTGTAATAAACTAAGCCAGCTAGCGTAACTCGGGAGAGTGCGTCTAGTAAATTGTCGTGATTATTCGGGAGAGATTTGCGATTAATAAGAGTGCTCATGATTGACAAAGACGATTAGGCAATTCTATGTGAAACATACAGGAAGGAATTCCATCAAGAGGGGAAATCATAACCTTAGGACCTCCTCTTAATTGTTTACAACTTAATCATAGTTAGTTTTCAGTTGCTTATTTACATTCATTCTTAGTTAGTAGAAACATCCTTAATTGTTATTCAGAAAGTTTGGGAAGTTGATTACGTAGAATTTCGTAAGTCTAACGAGAGTAATTGATAGGTTAATTCCTTGTGGGTTCGACTCTGGCTAAATACTCAGATTATATTTGCAACATCCGCGTGTCCTTTTTATAAGGCATAGTTGGGCGTGATCAAATTTTGGCGCCGTTGCCGGGGAATTAACGGTGTTATCAATTAAAATTGAAAGAAATACCAAAATTCTTATTGTTGTCATTTTTCTTCCTTTTAAATCTTTACATTGAAATTTTAACGTTTGTTGACTTGGTTGTACAGGTGCATGCCTAGAAACTCATCGAGGACAGGTGAAGTATTCGAAGCTCTATCTGATCCCGAGAAGGTTTTTAAGGCCTTGAACCGGGCCAACCGAAAAAGCAAACAGCAACAAACAATTGAATAAGTCGATCTGGACATGGGAGATCACGAAGTAGACCCAGCTGCACCAATAGCACCAGTGGCACCTCTTGTGCTAGAGGCTGCTCTCTATGACTGGGCACAACCCACAGCTGAAAATCTGGCCACGGAGATTTTAGTCCCACAAATACAGGCGGAATCGTTCTAAATGACGAACAACATGCTGCACTTGTTGCAAAACAAGGGACTATTTTCGGGGTCACAGGTCGAAGATCCTCAACAGCACTTGAAGAATTTCCTGTCAATCTGCAAAACTCAAAGGTAGCCCAACGTAACTCAGGAAGCAATCAAGCTATTATTGTTTCCATTCTCAGTGATAGGAGCTGCCCAGACCTGGCTAAACTCACTCCCCANCGACTTTCGGGTTTTGCATCTGGTCGTTTTGTTTTTCAGATGACTGAGTTCCCATTCCTTTGCTTAGTTCTTGTAAAACGAGTTTACTTCTAGGAACATGGTTCATCAAATAGTCCTCTTCAAGAAACTTAGCATTTGTGCTAACAATTACCTTCTTCTCTTTAGGACAATTGAATAAACCACCTTTCGTCCCTTTTGGATAACCTACAAACACGCATACATCCGTTCTTGCCTCCAATTTATATGTTTTCCCTTTCAGCACATGTGCCGGACAACCCCAAACTCGAATATGCCGCAGACTAGGCTTGCGCCCAGTCCACAATTCTGTAGGGATCAAAGGTACACTTTGAGGGAACTAAATTCAGAACGTAATTCGCTGTTTCTAAGGCATGTCCCTAAAATGACGAAGGCAAATTGGAATAACTCATCATTTATCTAACCGCTTCTATAAGAGTCCTATTTCTTCTTTCAGCCACACCATTTTGTTGTGGGGTGCAGATAATTGAGATGTAATTCCACATTCTGATAAATAACTAATGGATTCCGCAGAGAGGTACTCCCCACCACGATCATATCGTATTGTCTTGATATATTTATTATGTCGCTTTTCACTCTCAGTTTTAAATTCTTTGAACTTTTCAAAACATTCAGACTTTCGACGCAACAAATAAATATATCTATATTTTGAGTAATCATCTATGAAAGTCACAAAATACTCAAAACCACCTCTTGCGCTGACATTCATTGGACCACACAAATCAGAATGAATTAACTCTAATTTATCACTTGCTCGATTTCCTTTTGAGGGGAAATTTCATTTTGTCATTTTTCCTTCTAAGATTCACAAGTTGGTAGTGCCTCCACTTTCAATGAACTTAAAGGTCCATCCTTGACCAACCTTGAAATTTTGTTTAGATTTATANAACAAAAATACCATTAATCAATGTAGCCGAAGAAAGATAATGTTTATCATGAGTAATAACACATTTATCAATGTCATAACCATCTCTCATAGCGCTAGAAACCGAAATTAAATTCCTTCAAGTGGAAGGTACATATAATGTGTCCTTTAAAGCTAAAACTCTACCACTACCAAACGAAATACTAATATTTCCTAATGCTAAAGTTGGGGCTGCAAACCATCTGCTTGATAAACATTGATTTCTCCTCTACTTAGCCGCAGCATTACCTGAAACCCCTGCAAATAAGTGAAGACATGATTAGTGGCTCCCGAATCTATACACCATGACATGGTAGAAACAGCCGCTAAAAGAGTTTCAACGACAAGTAGATGTAAATCATCTGGTTTATTTTTTAGCTTGGCTAGATAAGTTGGACACTACTTCTTATGATTCCTAGGTTTCTTGTAGTGATAACACTTGCCCTTAGCCTTTTTCACACCAGCAGTTGCACCACCACAGAGGGTTTTTGAGCCTTTTTCTTCTTCTGCCCGCCTCTTGGCTTAGAAGAAGCACCTGCCTCAAAATTCAATGCCACAGGAAGAGCTTGTGACTCGATAATAGTCTCTGCTGACTGCAGCTCATTCAGCAATTTCGCAAGTGACAAATCCATTGTGTTCATATTATAATTCAGGCGAAACTGCTGAAAACTGTCAGGTAGAGTCTGGAGGATCATTTCAACCTGCGTATCCTTATCAATGTTAGCTCCTAGGACCTCAAATTCATTCAGAAGACTCATCATCTTCAGAACATGGTCCCTAACCGATGAACCTTCAACCATTTTGGTATTCAGAAGAGCTTTCATGGCAGTCTGCTTAGCCGCACGATTCTGATCTCCAAATATTTCTTTGAGATTTTCCAGAATGTCATAAGTAGACTCCATTGACTGATGCTGATGTTGCAGAATATTTGACATGGATGCCAGAATGTAACACCACGCCATCTCATCAGCCTTTACCCATTTGTGGTAAGCCTTTTGTTCATCATCCGTAGCATCATCTCCAGGTTTCTCTGGACACACCTCATCGAGCAAAAATTTGTACTCTTCAGCAATTAGGACAATGTCCAAGTTTCGTTTCCAATCAACATAATTCGGACCCTCAAGTTTGTTTTGAGAAAGAATAGCAGAAAGGGGATTGAAAGCAGTCATTGTTAATCTGGGAGACAATTAATTAAATAGATCAAAATCAGTCATGTATTATTTAAATATTAAGATTCAAAACACACTACATATATATAATCTATGCACCTTGAACAACAAATTTCGATGGAAAAAGAGCTATTCTTGTAATATACACATATAATAACATATTATTCACTCCTTAAATTTAAACAGGTCATACTCAGATGGAGAGTAAATTGTTAATTTAAGTCAAGTGAATATCAAGATTCAACATATATTAGTCCCATTGAACCAACATGCATACTCAGATGGAGAGTAAATAAATACAAGTAATCAACAACTAGTATAACCTAGTGATTATCCATAATGAGTTTATCCGATATGGAAGAAGACCTACGTCAACGTGTAAAAACATTATATCACTAGAATTTAACCCTGGAGTCCATAGGAAATGATCTCTACCACTACTGGATTAAAAACAACTCAAAAACATTTTGAAAATTTCTAGAAAATTAAAAAAAACCGTCCAAAACATCATCTAAATGACCCCGAAAGCCCAAAAACGGCTTATATCATGAGCAAAGCTAATGTGTATTGCTCACTGGGCCGTTTGGCATGGACCTGCCAAGTTTCAGGTCAATCGGAGTCCGTCAACATGTTGACCTCCGATTTTCTGGCCAATTCGGTCAAATAGTGACTTTTGTGTTTTTCATGGATTAATGTAACTTTCAGATTATTCAAATCAAATATCATCAACTATAAGCAGACATTACATGATTTTCAGAATAATCATAATACTCACACAAATATTCATGCCAAAAAAACAAAACAGTTTTACCGAATTCAATACAATCTTTGCATGTAATTCAAAACTTGCATATTAACATATACTAACTTTTATTGTTCATCCTCATCATTTAACTAGACGTGAGTAGGCTCTGATACCAATTGTTCGATTATATATGCAGCGGAAGCAATTGCAGTATAATATTCACGTGCGAATTAAACAATTTTTATCGGGACGTGCCAAATACAACAATATATCTATGACTGGCCGGTTTGTTTTGTGTAGACCTGGGTTGTAATTCCTCTTCTTTGGGCTTGTCTCCGAGCCCAATGGCTTGAATTTAGTTCAGCACTATCACCTGATTTGCATTAGGCCAATAGCAAATTAAATGGGCCTTTTGGAGACATTGCTCAATAGAAAGGTCATAGACCTTATAGGATATCCTTTAAAATAAACGAGGTGAGCCCCGCCAAATAAAACGCATAAATTGCGGGGCCCTCTTTAAGTGATCCTATTAAAATACCTAAAATTCGGGACGTGCCGTTTAGCGAATTTCACGGTCTCCCGCAAAGATAATAAACACGTTACTTGCTTTAGATCCGTTACTTAAATAATTTTACCTTCCTACATACGGGTGCATATTTATGTGACCCAAATTCAAATCTCAACGAAGTCGAAATGTGTCAAAAACTGCGGGTGCATTTATGTGACGTGGTTCGAGACGTATTTTCACGACGTTGCAAGTCTCTTTAGAAAAAATAATAATAAGAATAATAAAGCAGTTCAAAGTTAAAAAGCACATAGGTTAAAACATGTACTAAAATCAAATAAATAAGCCAAATATGACAGTTGAGCGACCGTGCTAGAACCATGGAACCTGGGAATGCCTAACACCTTCTCCCAGGTTAACAGAAGTGTGGAGTACAAAAGCCGGGAGAAGATGTTAGGCATTCCCAGGTTCTGTGGTTCTAGCACGGTCGCTCAACTGCCATATTTGGCTTATTTATTTGATTTTAGTACATGTTTTAACCTATGTGCTTTTTAACTTTGAACTGCTTTATTATTCTTATTTTTTTTTTTAAAGAGACTTGCAACGTCGTGAAAACACGTCTCGAACCACGTCACATAAATGCACCCGCGGTTTTTGACACATTTCGACTTCGTTGAGATTTGAATTTGGGTCACATAAATGTGCACCCATATGTAGGAAGGTAAAATTATTTAAGTAACGGACCTAAAGCAACTAACGTGTTTATTATCTTTGCGGGAGACCGTGAAATTCGCTAAACGGCACGTCCCGAATTCTAGGTATTTTAATAGGATCACTTAAAGAGGGCCCCGCAATTTATGCGTTTTATTTGGCGGGGCTCACCTCGTTTATTTTAAAGGATATCCTATAAGGTCTATGACCTTTCTATTTAGCAATGTCTCCAAAAGGCCCATTTAATTTGCTATTGGCCTAATGCAAATCAGGTGATAGTGCTGAACTAAATTCAAGCCATTGGGCTCCGAGACAAGCCCAAAGAAGAGGAATTACAACCCAGGTCTACACAAAACAAACCGGCCAGTCATAGATATATTGTTGTATTTGTGACCCACCAGCTAGAAGTCTCCTCCGGCTTTGCAGGCTGTAAGAGCGCGGAAGATTTCAGCTAATATCATGGGCGCAAGAGTGCTTTTGGCTTGAGTGAGTAGAGTGCTGACGACCCCGGCTATTTTTATGTCAATGTTTCCGTCTTTCCTCGGAAATACCAAAAGCCCCAGAAAAACCACCATAAAAGCAAAACGCCTATGTTCTTCCCATTTTTGGCGGTTTCCTTTGCTACATATCTTGTTTTCCGGGTTGTTGAACCCTCCTATGTGGCCATATCTGTGGTATATGAAGTGTGGAGTACAAAAGCCATTCGCCAGATCTGTGTTGTGGACCGTCCTTCTTATCTTCAGTGAGTCTAAGAATCTGTGCACAGCTACAATTCTCGGGGCAACCAAATACTTATGTCTTAAAGGAACCTTATCATTTCCGATGTAGCCAGCTATTTCTTCTAAGGTCGGGGTAAGTTCAAAGTCCAAAAAATGGAACACGTTGTGTGTCGGGTCCCAGCATGTGACCAATGCTCTTATGATGTCTCCCCGAGGCACAATCTCCAACAAACCGGTAAGCCCTTTCAAATATTTTTTGACTTCATCTTGCCCTTCTCCTCCTAGATCGTTCCACCACAGACGCAACTCCAAAGGGATTTTATGCATGATTGAGAAAGGTTCATTTTGAATCGTGCTCATCCTGCACATTTATTAAGGTGATTTAATCACTTATTTTGACCTAAAAGGGAAAAAAGACACTATTTTTTGTTCAAATTTCCAATTTAAAACAGACAGCCGGTTTTGCGGATACGGCCTTCTAGCACTTCGAGAAGAAGATTTTAAGGCTGTGCCCGCTAACTGGCCAAAAATTGGAAAAAGACCAAAGGTGGTTGTTTATGCAAAGTCAGCCTTCCGGCGTCCCTTTCGGGAACATTCGGCTATTTTCGACAAAAACGGCATCATCTTACCTATTTACAATAAAAATAAATTTTTGTTCATTTTGGGCTATTTTCGCAAAAAGAAATTGGACCCGATGAGGGTTGCCTACGTATCCCACACCCTGTGGGAATCAAACTGGCGTAGTTCGGGCAAACACAACAAACTATTTGTGAAAACAAGACTCCTTTTTTTTTCTTTCATTTTCCATTGACAAATAAAACAAACTATTTTTTGAAAACGAGACTCTTTTTTTCTTTTCTTCTTTTTCCATAAAACAAACTATTTTTGAAAACAAGACTCTTTTTTCTCTTTCATTTTTCATTGGCAAATAAAACAAACTATTTTTTGAAAACAAGACTCTTTTTTTTCATTTCCTTTTTGTCTTTTTTTTTCTATTTTCTCAAAAATTCGGCAGAGTTTCGACGCTATTTGGACATTGGTTTTTTCCCAAACAGGTAATTATCTCTCTTTAACCCTCATATCGCTATTTCTTTTAAAAGTCGGTCAGCATGCAAATCCAAAACAGATAAATGCACAAGTAGGATGCATCAGGATGGTCCATTATTCCGGGTACACCTGTCCTAGACGGACCCAACCCCTGTGTTGAGTCCCCTAAGTCAAAATGCACGTGATGCAGATAAGCGTTCCAACTAGGGATCCGGCATGAAGTCAAGTTATTCTAGGTTCAAAACCTGAGTATATGTTCTAGACTGTGTACCCGAGCGGACAACTCGAGTCGAGAAGGGGGCTACGTACCGGAAACCAAAAGGCCATCTGGCTTAGTAACTTGTCCGGCCTCTTTCTTATTTTAAGGTATGACACTAACAGAATATGGAGTCTCAACCAGTAAGAACATCCCCGGAGATGAGAAGAGAAGGGTTTCATCACAGTTCATATACAATTCAAATAATATCAAAGCGGTAAAGCAGTTAGCACATTTAGCATGAAACATGTAGAAAAATCAGATAAAGCCAAATATAACAATATATCTAAGCTCGAATTCTGAACCCTGAACCAAAGTTCTAGGTTTGTGTCCCCAGCAGAGTCGCCAGAGCTGTCACGCCTCCTTTTTCCTACACCCCGTAAGAGTGTAAAGGAGATTTTCCAATTAAAGAACAATCGAGACGGGATTTATTTATTAAAGATTCAGAGTCGCCACTTGGGAGATTTATGGTGTCCCAAGTCACCGGTTGAATCCCGAATCGAGGAAAAGAATGACTCTGTTTGACAGTCTGCGAACCAGAAATCCGAGTAAGGAATTCTGTTAACCCGGGAGAAGGTGTTAGGCATTCCCAGGTTCCGTGGTTCTAGCACGGTCGCTCAACTGTCATATTTGGCTTATTTATTTGATTTTAGTACATTTTTTCACCTATGTGTTTTTTAACTTTGAACTGCTTTATTATTCTTATTATTATTTTTTTTAAAAGAGACTTGCAACGTCGTGAAAACACGTCTCGAACCACGTCACATAAATGCACCCGTGGTTTTTGACACATTTCGACTTCGTTGAGATTTGGATTTGGGTCACATAAATGTGCACCCGTATGTAAGAAGGTAAAATTATTTAAGTAACGGACCTAAAGCAACTAACGTGTTTATTATCTTTGCGGGAGACCGTGAAATTCGCTAAACGGCACGTTCCGAATTCTAGGTATTTTAATAGGATCACTTAAAGAGGGCCCCGCAATTTATGCGTTTTATTTGGCGGGGCTCACCTCGT